CTGGCGTACGTCGACAGGGCCGTAGAATTCTAGAAGGGGGTCATCATACGAGGCCGGCTCCGGCGAACGCACCGAGCCAGGACAGTGTACGAACGTCATTCGGCGCGGACTGTTGCGGCGAAAGGCGCGCGGCGTTGGTGTTCCCCATTCGAGACAGAGACGCGAGACAGACAGAGAAAGAGAGAGAGAGATCAGTGCCGGAGAAAAGACGAAGACGAACGGAGGAAAACGGGATAAAGACGGGACGAACGGTACAGCGGTAATTTCGATTCGGAGCCGATTCGATTCCCTAATTAACGGATAAGGACCGGCCAACGGTGCGCGGCTATTTATCATACACCTGTACGGATATCGACGCGGTGGAGAGTGTCGAGCGATCCCGGGGCATTGTGAAACGGAAACTGTTCGCCGGAAGTGCGGGGATTTAATTTAACGGCGCGACTCGCGTGTGGATTACCGGCATCCAGGTGAGTACAACTTTTCCTCTTCTCTTTGTCATTCCTGTCTTCCCCTGGCTCGTGTTGATCGTTAAACGACAGGTTTGTCGTGATAGGTGACACGGTAGATTGATTAACAGCTGTAGATTCTGCTCCTTCGGAGGGCTTCTCGGTTTTGTCGGTTGTTTCGGGAATTTCTGGTAATCGCGGAGATAGGAGATTCAATTTGGTTCTGTAGAGTCTCGTGTTCGGTTCTGTATTCTTTGGAATACTATTTCCATCGACTGTTATGGATTTAACTCGGATTAAATGGATTGCTAACGAAATTCTTCCTGTTCTAACGTCTACGGATATTTATAGAGTGAGAAGTGTTTTATAGAAACAGCGGATGGAGAAAGATAAATTTCACAGGTGATCGCTGTAAGAACAGAATTACGGAGTCACGATTAGAAAGCTTCCGCCGTGAACTCTGTCGGTATCGTTAAACGATAATTCGCTCGATCAACGAAGAGTTTACGACGAGAATATAGCCAGATGCTCCTTTCAAATTTCAATCAATTCTCCGTTGCGCCCGGGTCCGTGGAATGCGCGAAAGAATCCTCAGTCACGGATCCGTAACAATACACGGGAACCGTACAAACTTTTCGAGCGCCAATGGGAAACGTTCCTCGGATAAGAAAGTTCCTCGGCCGCCGTCTTGAAATCCGCCCCGAACTTCCCGACCGTCATTATTATATTTAGTTCGGTCCTAATTAACTTACCGGCTCCATCGCCGCGGAGATTTATCGGGTAACGAATGCCCGATGGCAAGCCAAACAGTTCGATACTGCTTAAATTTCATGGTGACCGAAATAGAATCTACGGCGCTGCGTCGTGTTTGCGTTTCCGGGGAACAAACGCGAGAGATGTCACGCAGGCCCGAGCGACGCGGGTTTCCGAAAAATTGGAGAATTCGTTTACTCGATCGCGCACCGAACGAACTGTACTCCGGATCCATGAAACGCGAGAAGGTTGAAAATCACCGTGAGAAACCTTGATTCGTGAGTTTCTGTTACACTTAGAAAATCGTTTCCACTGATGGGATTTTGACGAGCGTTGATTCGGCGATCAACGCGTCCCTATATCCTCCCAGTCGCCTACCCTGCATTCACTTGAAACCCTACTCCAATCCTGAAGACGAATTGAAAATTCTTGAGTCAAACGTCACTTACGAAAAGAAAGCAATATGAAACACTACGAAAAATCTTAACCTTCGATTCCTAATCGATTCGATTCCTTACCGTACTCCCAAATTAGAATTACAAATCCTTCGATCGGATCGAGTTTCGGAAACCTCTTCACCAGTTAACCGTGGAATTTTAGAAAAACCTCTCGTTGCACGCAATAAAATGGAAAAATGGAGCGTGATCGAAGATCAAAGCGAAACAAAGAATTACATGTTTATGTGAAAAAATAAAGAATTCATCGTAGACGTGTAGGTTAATATTGATGTAAACTTCATGGATGTGCGTGCGTATGTATGGGTGAGCGTGCGTGTATGCGTTTTGGATAAACGCGAAAAAAAAGAGATATTGAAAAAAACGAAATTTGTGTTGACAACGGAAAAATATATAGAAATTGACATCGTTTTAAATAAACGTCTATATCATGAATTAGTATCGTGTCAAGCTTCACGATGACGTGTATACTCGTCGAGCACAGTTAACCGGTCGAAGAAGCTCGAATTAACAATTCCTAGAGAGTCTTAACTTCCAAGTCTCCGGTTTCGTTAATAAAATTCACGAGTACCATCGGACGACGCGTCAATGCAGCAACGCTGCACGAACGCGTACCGTTATTCGTTATTCAGGTATCGGAGGGTTGATTTTAACGGCGCGCGCGGACAAAAAAGTTCTCCATCGCTGCGTTCACGCAACGTCCGGCACGGAAAGTTCGCATGCTTTTGTTTTCGAGGTTTCGGCGCTCGTGCTCCGGCTTCCCGAACGAAGTTTCCGGTCGTTAGCCGCTCTGTCCCCCGCGCACCGCCGCGTTTTCTTCGCAAAAAGCTACCTTTGTTTGTGTCCCCTCGTTCTCCCCCATTTTCCCCTTTACTTCTGTTTAGAATAAATAGTCCTACTTATGGAAAGGGGATCCGTTGCCCCTGACATATCGTTGCACTCCGTTTCGAGCACGCTTATTTACGGCGGCCGTCGTGGTTAATTAAAAACGTCCCCTGGAAGCGTCACGGTTTTTCATTCCGCGTGAAAGCCGGACCGTTTGTGGCTCGCCATTCTTTTCAACGGGGGTGCTCTCTTCTTCCTCCGCCCCTGCTTTTCGCTTTCTTCGCGTTCTTTTCCCGGAAAGCAGGCTTTATCCGCGCTTTAGGCTTTTTTGAATCGAGATCCGGATGATTCCTTTATTCCGATATCAAAATGATAATTACTTTGATTGTTCACCGGTAAGTTAATCTCGAATCGCAATGATACATTAAACGGTTATTAATATTCGCGGTGGTTTCGGTGATGCGCATGGTTTTCGGAATTATTGTGCTAAATTAGGCGAGGATTTGATCGTCGTGCTCTCATTATGAAAATATAAACTCTTCGTTCGAGTTGAACGAGATAGAACAGATGATTTTCGTGGAAATATCAATTTGTCGGGAATATTTCATTTAGCGTTATGAATTTACGTTATGAAATGAAAGTTAATTGATCACCTGCATTGCGACATTTTTCGAGAGCGAACGAAATTTTACAGTATTGTTTCGCACCGTCCACGAAAGTTGAATACGCTGTGTCCGCGACAGGGACGTGTAATCGTGTTAAATGAAAATTTAATTTCAATGATAAATCGGCTATCAACAATTTGCCACGTTACGAGAAACATAAATTACCATCTGCGGCGGCGTGCGCCGACACAGTAACCCCGGCGTACGAAGAGCTACATCTTCATCGAGATATGCATTTCGTTGTGCAATATTCGCACGTGTAGCCCATAAATTCATACAGCCTGCGGTTCATTTATGAACGTACGAGAACGTAGAACGAAACAGAACGAAAATCATCGAACGTTCCGATAAGCTCCTCTTAAATTAGAATCCAGGGCAATATAAATCGTTAATCGAATAAATTAACCGCATTCTTACTTCCCACGCGCAGACCAGGAAATATAAACGTGTCCCCAGGCTGTCAATTAAACGAGTTCTATTTAACAAACAAGACTCAACCGTACACGATGCACTTGTTTTATAGCCCATTTTGAAATAATTATTCGTACCCTGTTGCTTTATGATATCCTTTACAACTGTTAAACGTATTTGATTGCTTCTGATACAGCAGAAAAAGAAAGAATTTCACGTTCGTTCGATGTAAATTGAAACAAATTTTTTGAATTTAATTCTTGTAGATTCGACGAATTGAAGTGTCGTATTAAACTATTTTATTGCTTCTGATACAGTAGAAAAAGTATTTCACGTTCATTCAATGTAAATTGAAACAAATTTTTTAAATTTAACTTTTCTTGTAGATTCGATGAATTATTGAAGTGTCATATTAAACTATTTTATTGTTTCTGATACAGTAGAAAAAAAGTATTTCACGTTCATTCAATGTAAATTGAAACAAATTTTTTAAATTTAATTCTTCTTGTAGATTCGATGAATTGAAGTGTCGTATTAAACTATATTTGAATTATGCAACGCTGACGCAAGGTTCTATGCAAACACAAAGAACATCTTACAATGCCGCAGATGGCTAATCGTTCTTCCGTTCGAGTCGAAGTCATTCCGAAAATTCTCGTATCCTGATGATCCTCGGATCGATCTACTTTTCCATCGGACACCCAACTGTACTGGCCATCGCGAAGCGATAAATAGAAAGACCGGTCGTTAGCGAAACGCGTTTTGCACAACGCAGTCTTAATAAAAGTTCCACGTGAACGTGCGGCGAGACGGGAATGCAAAGAAAGCACCGAATGATTAATACCCCTGACGCATGATCGCGACGAGATGCGTGCTGATGCGTGCGCGAGTTAGACCAATGGTTTATAACCCTTGACTATTATAGAACCGACTATTACCAGTCAAAATATTCATTCCAGTTTTCTTCCTTGAATAGTTTCAGATCATATGCCATGTACGTTTACAACTGAACTATCGAATTACCAAAATAAATACGTAATCGCAATAAACATTGTCGAGATTTTTCATAACGGTTCTATAAGCTTGAACGTCTATATTAGCTGAAGGTAAAATGATATTTGTCGGAACGTCTTTAATTACTTTAGCTTCTAACTATTACGAGCTTTCGAATGTAAAACTGAAATCTACAGAGGATAATTTAATAACTGAAATGACGAGGTTCCGACACGCGATCCTCGACTTTCCCAATGTGTGAGACTTGTATAATTTAATTTCATATGGAAAGAGGTTTCAGAAGTGGAAAGCTGTCTCGTTTGGATGTTAAACAACTTTCGTGGATATTTACTAAAAATGCAGAAGTGGTTGTGTACATGCAGAAAAATTATAGTAGTTATCTAACGAGATCGCAAATATTGTGTTATTACAAGAAAATATCAGAAAATAACATTTATTCAAATGAATTTACTTCGATTTATTTCTTGGGAAACGTAGTAAGAAAATTTTAATTGCATCCCTCAGCAATTTTGGCGCGACACAGGAAGAGCGCTGTAGCGCTCCTCAGCGCTCAAACGGTTAACTTCGAAAAGATTAAGAACCACTGAGGTAGATCCTCGACTCGCGCCTGGCGTAGCGCCTAGCACCGTTGGAAATCGCCGGGGCTCGCGTAAGAAACGCGCACGGTTTCAGGAAAATCGCCGTGTAGAAATTGCATTCTTGCGCGGCCGTTTAGAAAGTGCACGCGCGCGCCGCGCGGATTTCACGGGGAAACGGATTGACTCGGTAATTCGCGCGGACGATCGTCTCCGAGATTTACACCGGCGAATTTCACGCGAGCGGCGCGTGTAATTTCACCGGATCGTCACCATTAACCCCGCTTCGTTTCCCCGGGTCTCCTTTGACCCAATCACGCTTC